GGAGCACTGGGTGTTATACGCAAACAATGAATCATGGAACACTACATCAAAAACTAATGATGTAATGTATGGTGATTAACATAACATAATAAAAAAAAAGGAAAAAAATATCTACCTCAAGTGCCAAGTTTTGATGTGATAATGGTTAAGGGTAAATTGGTAACATTTGCTCTAATATTTACAGACTAAAATGGACTCTTTCATGTTAACAGCACAGAACTCTAGAATTTGGTCAAATATTTAACTAAGAGCTTCAACAGATTGTAGGTCTTTATTGAAAAAAGCTGACCCTCTCCATTGGCACTCTGATCATTAATGGGCTTCTATTTAGGCTAAAAGATACCTTAGGCTCTTGGATTTACAAAACAGAATGTTTATTCCAACGCGTACAATTTGGAGTCTAAAGCATGTGAATGTTAACAACCAAGGATAATAATATTTCAAACACTTAGCTTATCAGAAGTTTAAGGGAAGTTAAGAAACTATTGCTTTTGTACCCAACCTTAGTAGCCAGGGAAACTTCCCTTCCATCATTCCATAATATTCCCTAATATTACATACTGAGCAATAATACAAACAGCACTAGGATTCACAGAACACACTCTGGTAAATGCTGCTCCTGACAAAATTCCTCGCTGCTTTTACCTGAACTGTGTAACCTGATTGTTTTCCTTTTGTTCCGACTTACAGATCCTTAAAGCTGTTTCTTTTAAACTCTCAAGAAGTCATTTATTTGAGGTGTCTAGTACATATGTCTCTTTATTCTTGCTGATGTTTTAGAGATATTTTCTATTTGCAAAACTAATGCATGTTTATTGTAGAAAAGTTGGTTTAAAAGAACATAAGGAAGAAAATATAAATCTACAATTTTCACACTGAGATGATCACTGTTAAAATATTGTTATGTTTATTTCCAATCTTGTTCCTGTAGTGTGCATATATTTTGTTTAAAAAATTAGAAATAAATTTTATATAAACTTATAGGTTGCTTTTTCCACTGACCATCAATATTGACTATTTCCCTCATGAGAACTAAATATATCTGCAAAATATGATCTCCACTAGCTGCATAAGTCTATAACATGAATATACCTTCACTGATTTACTTGTTAGACACTCAGTTTTTTTGCTTTTAACTATTATAAATTTTAATATAATAGGAATAATTTTTGGAGAGAGAGAGAGAGAGACAGCATGTGTGTATGCGACCCCGGGGGTGGGGGGTGGGGGGGGCAAAGGGAGAGGGAGAGAGAATCTTAAGCAGGCTCCATGCCCAGCGCAGGGCTAGATCTCACGACCCTGTGATCATGAACTGAGCAGAAATCAAGAATTGGATGCTTAACCAACTGAACCACCCAGGCGCCACTAGGTATAAATTTTTTAAAAGGCATTATCAAATTGTTTTCCAGAAATTTTTGCCCATCTACACTTCTACCAGCAATGGATGAGAATACCTATCTCATCACACCCTCACCAGTATTGAATAATACAGGTTTTTGTTTTATTTTAACTTCACCAATTTAGTAGGTAAAAAACAGCATCTCATTTTAATTTGCATACACTTGCTAGTTATATAATGTTTCTTTGTTTGTTAATATCTAATTTGTATTTCTTCTCTGCTCATTGTCTTTCTCCTATATGAATCATTTCATTGATTTAAAAGAGTTATTTAGATAATGATAATTTTAATACTTTCTCTTTCAATATTGTGCATATATTTTCATTTGTTTGATATTAGAAATTTGTAAATTTTTATCGACAAATCTATTGATGTTTCCTTTTGTGGTTTCTTCAATTGCTTATACCATCCTTCCCTATCCCAAGATTAGCTATATTTCCTGTGTTTTTGTTTCTTTTGTTTGTATATGGTATGAGGAAGGAATCTAATTTAATTTTTATGTATATCAATTCTCTACCAATTTGTAATACCTCTGCTATCTTACATGTATCTGTTTTCTATTCCATTGATCTATTTTTGATCTCTTCTATTTTCATTTGTCTTTTTTGATTCAGTACCACTGTGTTGTAGGTACTATAGCTTCATGATAATTTCTTACACCCAATAGTTCAAGTCCTTTTTCTTAATTTCTTTTTTCACTAATCCTTTAGCTATTCTTGGATCATTTACTCTTTCACATGAATTTTAAGAATAGTTTGTGACATTCTTGGAATTTTTATTCTAAGATTTTCTTGGAATTTTTATTCGAATTGCATTGGATATAGAAATCAGTTTATGGGACGCCTGGGTGGCTCAGTTGGTTAAGCGGCTGCCTTCAGCCCGGGTCATGATCCCAGGGTCCTGGGATCGAGTCCCACATCGGGCTCCTTGCTCAGTGGGGAGCCTGCTTCTCTCTCTCTCTCCCTCTGCTTGTGCTCACTCTGTCAAATAAATAAAACCTTTAAAGAAAAAAAAAGAAATCAGTTTATGTAGAATTTGCATCTCTTTGGTACTGATCTCTACATTCATGAAACTTGGTCTATTTCTCTATTTTTGGATCTTCCATGTCTTTCAATATTTTTTTTCTTTAGAGAGGGAGAGAGATGGGGGAGGGGCAGAGGGAGAGGGAGAAAAAAATCTTTTTTTTTAAATATTTTATTTATTTATTTGACACAGAGAGAGAGAGACAAGCAGGGGGAGGAGCAGGCAGAGGGAGAGGGAGAAGCAGGCTCCTCGCTGAGCAAGGAGCCTCATGTGGGACTTGATCCCAGGACCCTGGGATCATGACCCGAGCTAAAGGCAGATGTTTAACAAGCTGAGCCACCCAGGCACCCCATGAGGCAGCATGAGAATCTTAAGCAGCCTCCACGCCCAGTGTGGAGCCTGACTCAGGGCTCGATCTCACAACCCTGAGATCATAACCTGAGCCAAAATCAAGAATCCGACACCCAGCTGACTGAGCCACCCATATGCCCCCCCATGTCTTTTAATTATTTATAATTGATTCCATAAAGTTCTTGCACACTTTTGTTCATTTTAATTTGAAGTATCCTGTAGTTTGTTGCTATCGTCTTTTTCTACTACATTTTCTAGTGGGTTGTTGCATAAAAATGTTATTAATTTTTTAAAAACAATTTCATTAAAGTATAACATAAAATAAAATGCACACACTTTAAGTGTACAGTTAGATGAGTTTTGAGAAACACATACCGTCATGTAACCAACACCTCAGTCATGATACAGAATGTTTCCATTACCCCACATGGTTCCCATTCTCTACCCGTGGCGACCCCAAGCACCATGGACTCACTGATAGCTTTGTAGCACTATGGATCAGATTTGTATTTCCTAGAATTTTGTATAAATGGAATAAAACAGCATATATTCTTTTGTGTCTGGCTTCCTTTTCTCAGCATTATGTTTTTAAAAGCCATCCAGATTGTGTGTATCAGTAATTAATTTCTTTACATTGCTTCCACTGTATAGATGTACTATATATTTTATATGTGTTCACCCCCAGACATTTGGGTTGTTTTCAGTTTGGGGCTATTTTGAATAAAGCTGCCATGAACAAGTCTTCTGTGAACATGCATTTTCATTTCTCTTGACTAAATAATGCCAAACTGTTTTCCAAAACACTAGTGCTATTTTATATCTCCATCTGTAATGCATTCAGTTGCCCTATCTCGGCTAGCAGTTGGTG